CCCTGGGATCATGACCTGAGCCGAAGGCAGTCGCTCAACCAACTGAGCCACCCAGGCGCCCCTATTAACTAATTTTAAGCACACACGTTGAGCTAGGCCTGTGCTGGTCAGTGGAAACACAGTTGAATAAGGCATAGCCCTTGCGCACAAAGGGCTAAAAGTATTTGAGAGACATTTGCTAACTTAATTTAATCATGTATATAGTAAAGAATTTGGTCTTGCCCAAAGATTAATCTGGCTTTGTCCCCCCACTCCTGGAAGATAAGTCTAAGTTCTTGGAATTTCCTAAGTAATAGGAGTGTCTTTTTATTTGTGGTGAGAGCCCCTCAGATCACATTTGATAATATATGCTGATGAGGTGACTCACAGTGGTCCCTGGGGCCACATGGTATTAACCTGACTTTCATGGATGGGGATGCTAGAGATCAACTTCAAGCAGGTGGTCAATCAATCAAGCATTTCTACGACATGAAAGCCAATGAAACTGTGAACAATGAATCTCAGATGAGCTTCCCTGATTGGCACCATGTGTACTGTTACATATGGATGCTGGGAGGTTAGGACAATGGAATCTTCATGTTTGGAATACTCCCAGACTCTGCCCTGTGCATCTTCTTTTGGTTTATTTTTTATTTGTATCCTTTCCTATAATGCATCTGTGAGTGTAACAGCTTGCAGTAAAGTATGTGAGTCCTTCCAGAGAATTCTTGGGAACTCTCTGAACTTTCTGTTCGTGTCAGGAGTGAGGGCAGTATTGTAGACAACTGTACTCTCAGACTTTGCAATTGGGCAAACTCCAGGTTTCACGTGACCTTAGAATTGAAAGGGATCTAAATATCTCTGATTCAACTTAATTCTGTAAGTGAGGAACCAGAGGTCTAGAGATAGACCTCGGGTTCCAAGGTCACATAATGTTATGACACAATAGGACTAACCCCTGAGTATCCTGACTCCCAGCACAGTGTGTTTTCCACAATATCCTGTTGTAGTTTTGAATGTGATCTGAGCAGAGAAAAGCTTATCCTTGAGTCAGTCTGGCTTTACTACAAGGGATTTTTGAAGGAGCCCCTTTATTTAGGAAAACTCATTCCTTACTATGTTTCTTGACTTGACTCTGATATATTCTAGATTTTTCTTGCGAATATTTAAGTTGCAATATGTATTGCTTGCAAAGTAAGGGGCTTGTACCAAAGAAGAGCTAATGCTTTCTGTGGGGTGGAAAGTTTTTTTGGTGATTTCTCTTTGTTACTGAACTTTTATGCTTCGGATATCATTTCTGTATAATCTAAATTTCATTGCTAGAAGACATCTTAGTAGTTTTTTTGTTCAGTCCTTCATTTTACACATGAAGATGCTGAGGCACGGAAACAGGAAGATATCTACCCAAGGTCATTTGGTAAGTCAGTGGCAAGGACAAGGATGAACTCAGGTCTCCTCTGCATTCTAGTTCAAAATGACTTCCCTGTAGAAGGCCAAGAGAGTTTTGTACACTTCTATTTATAAAAGTACTTGAGGGATCCTCACAGAATCCCAGAACAACCCATTTTTGTTTATCTCACCTGGGTAGCATTAGGCTGTCTTACTCTATCATAAGTTAAGCTGCAACCAGATGTTCTCTGTATTTCTCAGGGTTAAAGGGAAGAAAAGGGCCACCTCTTCCTCTAGGGCAGAGACAAGCAACAATCTGCTAATCCCTAAGCTTTACAAAATCATAAAATCTAACCACAGGTCTGATATTTTTTTAACCAGGAAAATCTTTTTCTATCACCTCATTAAGTACAACATTTAAATAATGGGTTTGTATTTCTATAAGCAATTAATCTTTGTTCTCTTAATTACTCTACTGTAATTCTCTGGTGACTAACATTCCTGATGTACAGAAACAGATTCTTGCACTTGCCCAGAGGTTTGACACATGTGAGCCAGCTACAGAAGGTATAAAACACCCATACGAGCTATGTATGATAGCATCCCACAGCAGGGGGCTACTCTCAACTTGGATGCCCAAAGTAAGTCTACTGGCCCAGAAGCTCCCATTTATCCAGCATGAGTAAGGATGGAAGTGTTTTTTTTTAAAGATTTTATTTATTTATTTGACAGAGAAAGAGACAGCCAGAGAGGGAACACAAGCAGCGGGGAGTGGGAGAGGGAGAAGCAGGCTTCCCGCAGAGCAGGGAGCCCGATGCGGGGCTCGATCCCAGG